GAGCGTAGCGGGCCCGCGGCGCCGTGGGCAGGGGTGGTGAGCGCGGCCGGGCCGGGGCTGCCTCGGGATTTTTTCTTTTTCTTCCCTCTTTTCTCTTTTCCACTTTTATTTCCCTCCTCTTTCCCGTTCTCTCCTCCCGGGACGGGCCCGCTCCGCCGCGTCCCCGACAAAGTTATGCAACGCCGGGTCCCGGCGCTGCCACCCGACCTGCGCCCGGCCGCGGCCTCCGGGGGCACCGCGGACCCCGCCGGCATCCGCCGCCCGCGGGCCGGGTGCCCCTCGCCCCGGCCGGGGGGAGCCGTGTCAGGGAGCGGGGGCTGCCCCCGGGGCTCGACGGGGCCGCCCGGGGTCTCTCCGCTGCTCCCTTCCCTCCGCGTTTGTCTGGGCGCTCTGCCCCGGGCCCGGCGCTGCCGCCTCGCTCTGTCGGGTCCCCCCGGCCCTGCCGGAGCCCCCCGGGCCGGCCCCGCCGCCGTCCCGTCCCGGCTGCCCGCGCTGCCGCCCGCTCGGCTGCCGCCGCGCTCTTTTTTCCTTTTCCCCTTTTTAACTCTTATCCATTTCTAATTAAAACGTCCCCGTCTGCTCGCTTTTAAATTAATTATACTTCCCTCCTCTGATACCTCCTTTTGATTCCTAATCCAATTATCTTTTTAAATAATTGCTTTATCTCTCCCGATCGCCGGGCGCTGTTGCCTCTCGGCACTTGCGCGCGACTCGCCTTCGTTTAAAATAAAATAATAATAAAATTAACAATCGGAAGCCGCCCGCGCGGAGCCCCCGCGCCGGTGGGCGCAGCCCCCGGGAGCCCCGGGCAGCGCTCGGGCGGCCGAAGCCTCACCCGCTCCTCTCCGCTCTCTCCCCAGGCGCTCCGGCCTCGCCTCCGCGCGGGGAAGAAATCCGCCTGGCTCTCGATCCTCGTTGTTGTTTTGATTTTTTTTTTCCTTCGTTTTTATTTTTCTCTCACTTCACCTGCTATCTCTCGAGGACCTCGTGGCGGTGACGGCAGGACTGAACGAAAAAAACTCTTTTCACGCCGACTTTGTGCTCCGTTTAAAATTGTCGTTGGCTTTAATTTTTTTTTTTTTTGCCTGTTATTTGGGGATTTTTTCGGGGACTCTTTTTTGTCAGTTTTTTTCCCTTTCATTTCCCCCTTCCCCACCCCATACATTCGATTTGATTTTGATTTTTTTTTTTCCTGCCGGACTTTGGAGGAAAACTGCCCGGCTTCTAGCATGATGTCTTACCTCAAACAGCCCCCTTACGGCATGAACGGGCTGGGGCTGACGGGCCCCGCCATGGACCTGCTGCATCCCTCCGTGGGGTATCCGGGTGAGTGCCGCGCTCCCCCACGCTCCAGCCAGCGGAGGGGAAACTTCCCCCCGTGCGGGTTTGGAGGAGCTGGTGGGGCCGTACGGCTCAGGGTGGGTGGTGGGCTGGTTGTTTGCCTGCACCCCTGCCTGGGGACATTGGGGTCCAGCTGAATTTCCCCCCTGCTCCCGGGGTGTCTTCGTTTTCCCAGGGATTTTTAAGGATAAAGAACTTTGGAGTTGAACAGCAACCAAAAAAAGTAATTAATTTCCACACAACGAAATCTCCCCGTGGCTCCCGCTGGAGCCAGGCCTGACCCTTCCCCAGCCCCGTGCCCCTGGCCCTGCCCGCAGCGGGAGGGGGCCGGCAGCCCTGGGTGTGCGGGGACGCGTCAGGCCCTGTCCCGGGGACCCCGGGGCTCCGGGGGGTGCGGGGGCCCAGCGTGACCGGCCTGGTGCTGCTCGTCCCGCAGCCACCCCGCGGAAGCAGCGGCGGGAGCGCACCACCTTCACCCGCTCGCAGCTGGACGTGCTGGAGGCGCTCTTTGCCAAGACCCGCTACCCGGACATCTTCATGCGGGAAGAGGTCGCCCTGAAGATCAACCTGCCCGAATCCCGAGTCCAGGTACCGGAGCTGCGTGGGGGAATCCTGCACCGCTGTGGGATGGGGGATGCAGCACCACCCCAGCCCAGCTGGCGCTCTCAGACCGGCTGCTCCATCCACTCTCATCCCTCTTTCCTTGGGACGGGAGGGCGTGTGGGCTCCTATCTGCTTGTCTGTCCCACTGTGGAGACATTCAGCCAAAGAGGGAGCATGTATCTTTATTTTTTATTCTCTTGTATTATTTTTGTTTTTATTAATATCTTTCTGTCACCCTCCACCTGCTCCAGGGTACAGCAGCCCTACCACCTGGGTGCTTCCCAGAGTTATTCCCTTTGGGCGCTGCTCAGTGGATACCCGGGAGGGTGGGATATGCAGGCAGCACCCAACACAGGATCTGTCCCCCAAATCCATATTTTGTCACTGTGCCAGGGATGTGCACGAGCTGGGACACCCCAGCCTTTGACCCTGGCCATCCTTGCTTTTGGCAGGCTGTGGGGTGGCCGGGTAGCCGGGCAGGGGTGGGATTACATTTGGGGATGTGAGGGGTGCGCAGTGTTAGTGGGTGCCGGCAGAGCCGGAGCCAGGGTGAGGGTGGCTGGGTGCCTGCAGGCTGAAGAGCCCCTTCTGGGGCTGTCTGGGCCCATGCTCACCCCACCACGCTCTCTGCTCCCCGTTTTCTCCCGGCAGGTCTGGTTCAAGAACCGCCGCGCCAAGTGCCGGCAGCAGCAGCAGAGCGGCGGCGGGGCCAAGAGCCGTCCGGCCAAGAAGAAATCCTCGCCCGCTCGGGAGAGCTCGGGCTCGGAGAGCAGCGGGCAGTTCACGCCGCCGGCAGCGGCCTCCAGCTCCGCCTCGTCTTCCTCCTCCAGCTCGGCCTCCTCAGCCCCGGTGGGCGCCCCGGCCTCTCTCAGCACCCCGGCGTCGTCCATCTGGAGCCCGGCTTCCATCTCTCCCGGCGCGGCGCCCGCGGGGGTGACGGTGCCCGAGCCGCTGCCGCCGGCCGCCGCCTCCTGCATGCAGCGGGCCGGCCCCGCCGCCTCGGCCGCCTCCGCCTCCTACCCCGTGTCCTACAGCCAGGGCGGGGGGTACGGCCAGGGCTACCCCGCGCCGCCCTCCTCGTCCTACTTCGGGGGCGTGGATTGCAGCTCCTACCTGGCGCCCATGCACTCCCACCACCACCCGCACCAGCTCAGCCCCATGGGGCCCTCCTCGGTGCCGGGCCACCACCACCACCACCCGCTGAGCCAGAGCTCGGGCCACCACCACCATCACCACCACCACCACCACCACCAAGGCTACGGCGGCACGGGGCTGCCCTTCAACTCCTCCGACTGCCTGGACTACAAGGAGCCCGCCGCTGCCGCCGCCGCCTCCTGGAAGCTCAACTTCAACTCCCCCGACTGCCTTGACTACAAGGACCAGGCGTCCTGGCGCTTCCAGGTCTTGTGAGGGACCGGTCACCTTCCCCCCAAGCTGCCACTGACCCCCGCCCGGGGACTCCCCGCCGCCTCCCGGGCAGGACTCTGGGCTCTTCCTCCTCCTCCTCCCTCTTCGTTAGCAGTGGCGATGTCCTGGGGAGGTCCTGCCGCCCCCATCTCTACTGACTGATATTTATTTGCTTCCTGCACCACTCCACCAGGTTTATTATAATTATTATTTTTTTAAACGCAACAGAAGAGGAGTTTAAAAAAAAAAAAAAGAAAATTCAAAAGCCAAGCGTGTCCCCTGCTGCCCCCCGGGCAGAGGCGCAGGCTGGCTCCTGCCCTGCCAGTGCCCCCCAGCTTGTGCGGGGACCCTCAGCCCTGCGGGTGTGGAAGCCCCGGCTCGCCAGTCCTGAGCAGCCTCTTGCCGCGGGGAGCGGCGGGAATGATGTAAATACTCGGTCCGTTCCAGTGACCACCATTATTTTTAGTTGATGCTGTTGGGTTGGCATTTATCTAGAGTCTAACATGGAACAGAACGTTAAAAAAAAAAAATCTTTTTAAATTTCGATTTTCTTCCCTAAAAAAAAAAAAATAATCTTTCCCGGCCTCATGTCCTCCGTCCATCCTCGAGGGCTCTGCACAAGCTTGGCTGTGCCGTCCTGGGGCTGAGGGTGCGGGGCCATGGAAGCAGCCAGGGAGGTGTCCAGAAGGGAGGCAAAGGGGGAGGGAGGAAAGGCTGCCCAGCTGATCCGCAACCTGCAGACCAAAAAACCCCAAAACTTTTGGAAAAAAAAAAATAAAAGGAAACAAACAAACACAAAGCTGCAAAAAAAGTTTTGGTTTATTTTTTTGGGGGGAGGGTTGCAGGGATAAGCAGCTCTGGTTTGGGGCTGGGGAGGGGGGGCGCACGGCTTTTCGAAGTGTGTTTTTTGGTTTGGTTTTCGTTTTGGTTGTTTCGAGCCCCTTGTGTCGGTCGGTGCGGTGTGGCGGGTCGGGGCTGCAGCCCCGCGTTCCTGCTTCCCCCGCCCGGGCTGGCGCTTCCCGGCAGCTGTGCCCCGCAGCGGGGACAGGGACAGTGTACGTGTGGCTTTTGATGCCGTAACCCCTTCAACTGTAAGGCAACCCCCTCCTTTCTTCCCGCCCGCCCCAATAAAATCTAAACTAATAAATGTAGTGGTGTCGTGTCCTCCTTCCTCCCTCCTGCCTCCTCTTCCTCATAAAACTCCCCTGGGGGGAGTGAGGAGCAGGGCAGTATTTCCTGGGGGGTCCCAGCAGGTGGGGATGTGTGTGGTGAGTTTGCGAGTGCTCTGGAGGGGGGATCACCGCCGCTTCTCCAGCTGCGGGCTGGGGACCCGCTCCTTCGTTAATTGGCGCTTAATTGGTTACGGATCCATTGGCTGCCGATGGGACTCGCGGGACCGGCAACGCTGCCCGGAGCCGCGAATTCCCCCAGGATCGGCGGCCGCCAAAGCCGGGACCCACGGGCGGGCCTGGGTGCCGGTGGCGGGGTGCGAGGGCCGCTCGGAGCTCTGTCCCTCTGTCCTTCTGTCCCTCTGTCTCTCAGTGCGGGTTCAGCACCTGCGCTTCCAGCCCCGACTCCCGGCCGCGCCATCCTCAGCCGCTGCCGGCCGCGGTCCAGCCAAAGCAGACAGGCAGATTAATTTTTTTCTCGTGACAATCTCTCCCTCTATTTTTCCCCCCAGACCTTCACTTCAGTTGTTGGAAGCTGCCTGTTGGTGCTGGGGCTGTTCCTACTTGCACAGGACAGGGGATGCGCGGACCCGCGGGGCCACTGCTCCCCTGCTTGGGGCATGGATGCAGCCCCAAATTCCCACCCAAATTCCCAGCCTCCTCCCCGCGGTCCTGCACTCGTGCCCACTGCACCGGGAAGCTCCGGGGCTGTGCCGTGTGTCCCCACCCCCGGTGTCCCCTGGCAGCCTCGGGCAGCGGGGCCGCGGTGGGGTGAGAGGTGCCAGCGCCCCCCGCGCTGCTTTGGGGAGGGTTTCACATCCCGCATTCCCGCTCCAGCATCCTGGTGCAGAGCGAGCGGGGCTGGCCCTGCGGTGCTGCGGCAGGACAACAGTGGGATCGGCCCCAGGAGCCACCCCCAGCCCCCGTGCGACCCTCACGGGTCGTGGCCGTGGCAGAGCCCCGAGGCCCGGGTGGCCTCCCACACCCATCGGTGCAACAGGGGGCTCTGGGAGGGGATGAGGGACTGAGTCAGTGTTAGGGGATTTTCCTTTAGGTGGTTCTGTTCCTTGTTGTCTCCTTTTGTGCATGTATATGGATAAAAGATATGTCAGTATTTTTAAAATATGTATCTATACTTCTACTATGAAATAATCGTTCTCTTTTGCGATCACCAAAGTGTGGCTGTACAGGCAGTCTGGATGAGGGCCACGTGTGCTGGTGCATCAGTCCATGCATCCCCAAGCTCTTCCTTTTAAAGGGAAAAAAGTCATCACAGCCCTCCTGGGGCTGGGGGGGGGAACAAAAAAATCTGTGCTGGGCACAAAATGAACCGGGCTTGCCCTCCCAGATTTAGTGAGCACTTGAGAGATAAGATCCAGCAGGTGTACAACACACAATCCCCCAGACACACACCTTCTGTGCTCTTTAAACAAAAATGATGCACACTTCATCATTCTTGTAAACTGTTCCACTGTAACTCAGTAAGTGATGCTGAGAGACACAGCCAAGAGAGGAGCCTGAATTTTGGTTTTGGTGACGTGGTCCTAAACCTCTTCATCCAGTGCCCCACAGTGGGGCTGGGCCAGGGCTCTGCTCTGGGGTGTTGGACTCCAAGGGATGCTCATGTGCCCCCACTTTCCCCCTGATTTGGGCACCAGGAATACCAGGTGCCACTGATCAGTGATTTATCCAGCAACTCCCACACTGAGGTTTGGGCTTTTTCCTGTCCCACTCACACAGACCTGGAGCATGGTGTTGAAGCTGGCTGCTGAGCACAGGTGGTTTTGGAGGCACAAGAGGAGACCTTGCCAGATCGTGGCTGTGCCCTCAGTGCTCGGCTCCGTTTGTTTCAATTATTTTTCCAGTCAGTGCCAGCAGGGTGGGCAGAACTTCCCAGGTGGGTGTTGGTGGGTGAGCACGGGCTGGAAGGGTCATGCCTGGCTTTGGGGGGCCCCAGCACCCTCCCTGTGTTGCAAACTTCCCCCACTGTGGGCTACCTGAAGGCTGGCACAGGCACTGCCACCCGAGCACGAGTCATGGCAGGTAAGGTGGCACGGCGCCTGGTGCCCGGCTCCAGGGGCAGGCACCAGCAGGATTGCCAAGCTTTTTAGGGCAACCCGGTTCTGAGAGAGCTGCCTACTTGGCAGTGCCTCACCTCTCCAGCAAGAAGGCTGCTGGGTGCATGGCTACCATTAGTATTTAATTTTTTAAATAAAAATCCCACTTGCTGCTGGAGCCCGGAGCTGCTGCAGGGCTGGGGCTGGGTCAGCCCCAGGGCCGGCAGCTGCCTCTGCACAGTGCCTGCTCCAAAGGCACCTGGAGCTTTCCTGCCAGCAACTGAAGGGCCAGGATTTGGGGTGAGCAGGAGGAGGGACAGAGGGGAGAGCATTCCCTAGCTTGGGCTGCCCTTAGCTGCTGCTTCACGGAGCTGGAATAATCCATGACCTATTTGCTGTTACCAGAGCATTTGCTCTGGGTTGTGTCCCTGCTTGGCTGTTGATTCCCTGCGTGTGGCAGGCAGCTGGGACAGGTGGTGATGGGAGCACCCTTGATGGGCAGAGGCTGGACAGGGTTGCTGCTGGCTGGGGTGAGCAACTCCTCTTTTGGGTGCAGGACCTGCTTTGGGAACTCAAGCCATTACAGCTGAGCATGACTTAAACTATTAAAAATTTATAACTAAAAATTCTGTTGTAAGTTTCAGAAGTTGTGCCCACTAACACGACTTATTACAGTTATTTTGTAGGCAGCCTTCCTGGCAGGGAGCAGAGAAAACAGGTGATTATAGCTGAATAAGGAACCACTGGTTTGTGGTTTTCCCTGCGCTGACCTCTGTGTTAGCCAGTCGCTGCTAATTCACACACTTTGAGCAGCAATTAATGCACATAAAACCCCACGTTGGTTCCAAACCTGTTTTGATTTTGTCAGTGAAAAGTCTGCAGGTGAACCTCCCAGCTGAGGAAGCTGCTGTACTGGTGAGCTCTCCTTTCATGTCACACTGCCAAGCACAAAATGCTGTGGGGAAGGAGGAGGGTGAAAATGGTCACAGGGCTGAAGCCTGAAGAGAAACATCTGCCTATTTCCAGTTCAACCCCTATTCAACACCTTTTTTTTTTCCTAGACAGACAGGACTTTACCAAGAAAACCATGTGAGGATATTTTTTTATGAAAAACTGCAATTTTAGGAAACAGCATTCTGGACCTTATGTACATTTCTAGTATCACTTCCTGTATATTTTTAAGCTGAAATCCTCTTAGCATGCAAAGTAAATAGATTATGATATACTGAAGGATTAAGAATCACTGTCTGGTGTCAGATTAATCCCTCATATAGACCATCACTTGTACTGACAGAAATATGGCTGCAATTCAGCAAAATAGCTGTATGGCAGGGCCATGTGCCACAGCCTCTTGGGCAGAACAAGCCCCCTGTCACTGTGGTCCAGCACAGTGTGTTTCCCAGAAATTCCATTTCAATCGTGGCACATTTAAGGCACGCTCCTCTACAAGCTTGGCCATCACCACCTCAGCTCCGTGTGGGGAAATGAGGCAGCAGCTGCTCTGTTTCAAAGCTCTCTGTATTTGTTTCTCCCTGTTGAGTGTACAAAACCCTGCAGGCTGCAAGCCCTTGGCTCCCTTCAAACCTCAAACCAACGTGTCTCTTTCGAATACACTTGTGCAAAGGTGTAGGTTGGGATGAAGTGCCAAAAGGGTGCAAACACAATCACCCATCAGGCAGCAGAACTTTGACTCATAGGGGAAAATGGACTGTAACTTTTATTTGGATAAAAGCAGAATTTTTGTTAATGAAATACTTCAAATGGCTTGTGGGTTTTGGGTTTTTTTTTTATTTTTTTACATTGTGCCTTCATTTTCAGTCCATTGTACAGATTTGTTCACTGCATAAAACCAGCTCTAAGAATCTGGCTTTGGGTTTCAACCATCCAGTGCTCCCAAAAAGATCAAGATTAACCCATACATGTGCCTCTGACAGAGCACAAAATACCTGTGTCCGTACTCTGTGCTCCATCAGGTGGCAGGAGGCAGGACCCACGATGATGCTCACCCCTCTCCACTACCAGAAAAAAACAGAGAGGGCTGGCACAGGTCCCCTTCTCAGTGCATTTTCTCTTTGTGGTTAGAGGAGGCAGATTAAAATCTGGACTCCAATGGAATGATGCTTAAGAGGCTCCGCATCTTTTTTTCAAGGCAAAATAATGGTTATTCAACTAAGATGATATATCTAGATATGAAAATTGAGAGCATTCTTTGAAAAATGCTGCTGACTGTGAAAGGCTGCTCTTTCACAGAGGTATCCTGAGTGAAGATCTTATCTGCTGGTATCTCAATAGGACGGTTTTCAGAGCCTTAAGTGGAAATTCAAATCTGCTTCCAAGTGAAGATTGTAAAAACATATAATGCATAGAGAATTACAGATTTTCTCCTGAAAAGCTTATGGATTCATCCAAGAAACCCCACCAAATTTTCAGCATTGAGATTGTACAGTAAATGGGGATCAGCAATTACTCGCTTTTTTTGACGCCTTTGATGAAAATGTCACCGAGTTATCCTCCACAAGCAAACACAGGGAACTTTGTGCATGGACATATCAATATGAACCCAGAAATAATTTGGAGGTCTAAGAACAGGATATTTTCTAAGCCTGGTGTTTTGTCATCTGCCAGTGGTCAGACGCAGGGCTGGCTGGAAGTTCACCGAAGGGCTTCCCGTGAACTTCACCTCCTTGGTGAGGTTTCTTCTTCTCTCCTTTGGCAGCTCAGTCACACCAGCCCAAAGTGCACAATTTGGAGGGACCCGCTGCCTCCAGTCTCCTGTGGGGGAAAGACAGGCAGGATCAAGCAGGCTGCAGGGAGAGACACTGGGGAATGGAAACACAGAGATCAAAATACCACCCCAACCCAGGGAGAAGAGACTATTGTAGACACTGTCCACTTTGGCCTGGGGAGGAAGGATGTAGCCCCAAAATGGCGAAGACTGGCTTATCATTCAAGGTAAGGCATTTCTCATCTGTTTTTAAGCCCCTTCACACCCCTCTGCCCCTGCTGTTCCTGGGAAAATCAGGGCTGCAGCTCCAGGGGCCATGCATGGTGTCCCCTGGGATGTGAGGGGCTGGCAGCCAAGGCTCCACCTGCCTTTGAGACCCCTCACCTGGTGATTGGAAACCTATTGGCAAAAGTGAAACTTTAGGTTTTTGTTACCTTTTAATTAAGCTGGGTTAATGCCCACGTGTGGCCAGCCAGGTTTTAAAGTGGGGATGGCATTTGCATCCCTCACACAATGCAAATGTGTGATTTAAGCACAAATCCCATCCTGCACTCTGAGCCAGTGCAGGGTGGAAGCCTCAGCCCTCTGGTTTTTCAAAGGACATGGAGATGGGGAGAATGTGTGCCACCAGCAGAGGTTATTTCATAACCCGGGCTAGGGCCAGCGTGCCTGTGAAATGCATGAAATGCTTTGCCTTGGAAAGCGATGCAGCCTAGTGAGTCATTGCTTTCTTTTGAATTACAGATGAGTAGCCAGCCCTTCATGATGCAAAGAAAAAAACTAGGTGTGGAGCTGGAAACAAAGGGAAACATGTGTTTGTCCTGTCTCAGAGGGCAAAACACATTGGCTGGAGTGGGAAGAGGGGGTGGGCTTGGCCCCAGGAGGTGCCTGCCAGGGCTGTGGGAGCACTGGTGAGGGTGCACAGGACTCATGTGAGTGACTCCCTGGCTCCCTGACTTCAGGAAAGATTAAAAAAAAAATCTCCTAACTCTTGAAGCTTCACAAAGAACCTTTGCCAGAGCAGCAGCTCCATCTCATGGCATGTGCACTTCACCACAGAGATAGAGATCTCCCTCCAAAACAGCATTCCCTCCATGACTTCCCTATCTCAGTATGGAGGGAGCAATAAAAGTGCAATGGCTCCAAACAAGCTCTGTATGGACATTGAGCTTCCAGCCCATGGCTTGGCTCTTCCCTTGCAGGGAGATGGTGAGAGGTGGCCCTGACAAAATACAACCCCTTGAAAACCCTCAGAGGTATTTTGAAGGTGATTTCAAAGTGTCCCTGATGTCCCAGCTGAACCAGTGCTTGCATCCCAGATCCCATCAGGTTATTCCAGTGTGGAAACGTGCAGCACAGCTTCACCACTGAGACTTCTGCTCAGTAAGGCACTTCTCACTTCAGGGAGGTTGTGAGGTGCCTTCCTTGGTAGCAGTCCTCATGGTGGGGCTGTGTGTATGTGCCTTGGGTTTTGGGTGGCTTCAAGCTTTCTGTGGGCTCTCCTTGCTCTCTGAATGACACCTGCTGGAGGCTTCAAAAAATATGACTTTTTTTTTTTTTTGGTAAAGCCCTGAAGAGCATCAGTGGCTGAAGGTAAGGAAGGGGTGGCTCTTTTGTCCCAAGAACTGTGTCAGGGCCTTATGCAGAGATGTTTGTGTGGGTGGTTGCTCTGGGGATGAAGAGAGTAGATGGGCAGGTGAATGCAGGCTGGAAAAAGACCCCACAGCATGTTTGCCCATGTAAGAGTTCAAGGCTGTTTGGGTAGGTCCTTGTTGCTCAAGGTGCAAGGTCCAGAGTGCATCATGTGGGTATCTGACTTGGGTTTGTGATTTGTGCCCCTGTCTGGGGAGATGTGAACAAGAAGCCAGCCCTGCAGACCAACCTACTTGCTTTTTAAAAAAATACTTTTGAAAAAATCCTATTTGCAAACCTCTCTGGTCACACTAAAGCAGACCTGGCGGTGTCGCGTGGGAAGCCTGTGATGTGGCATGAAGTTTGCAGAGGTATTTAATGTTGATCAAAGGCTGAAGAGTGGTGATGACTGGAATCCTCCTCTGATATCTGCATCTTTTCTGCTGTAGCACCTCGGCAATGAAAGGTGCTGTAATAATTTGATGAGAGTTGATTTTCATTGTGCAGGAAGAGGCTGTCCAGGAACAGGGGCAGCCAGCACTGCAGTGCTGCTCCCTATGGTAATGAGCTGCTGGTCCTCCAGAGAAGGAAAACGTGAATATCCTGACAGGAGAGCATCTACTTGTGCCCTGGAGAGTTCAGATCGTGGGGCTTTTCATGGTAATGACGTGGTCCCGCTCCGGCAGGCGAGGGGAGGAGCAGTGTGGGAAGGCACACCCTGTAATTGAAAACCCACTCAGTCACCTCGGACCTGCAGGGGTGGCACGATGGAGGCAGTGGTTTGCTCTGTCTCCACAGGTCTGAGGCAGAACAGAGGATCCTTCTGCTCTCCCGGAGTGGGAAATACAGAGAAACCTCTTCCCTGTGCTGCTGTATGGCTCCCAGGAGGCCATGCTTTTTCTCCTGGGATTATTCTCAAGGGCACGATGAAGGTGGGAAAGGACAAGAATGGGAGAGAAGAGAATAAATGAAGGAGCCCTGGGGAAATTATTTTAAGCACCTGTTTTATTCAGCTGAAGACTGCCTGGTACCAGGCTGCAGGAAGGACTAGGTGGAAGGACATGCCTGTTGCTAGGATCCATAGGTACCACTCCTTTACACTGGGAATGCCTTGTTTCCCTTGAATAGCACAATACAAAACTATTCTGGGTGATAGATAATCCACTGAGTGATAATATATTAAAATTACCACCTGGTAGCCATAAGGAGCCATTGGCTCAACATCTTAAATTGCCTGGTAGAAGATCAGTCTCTGGTCCAGGAACAAGAGAGCAGTTGAGATCAACATTTTCCAAAGGGTCTTGTTTGTGCCAAGGCAGGTGACCAGGGTGTTTGCACCCTTGGATTCACTGATCCAACTCCCGGTGCTGCTACATGGAAACTCTGAACTAACCTACACAGTTGCTCAAGATTATCAAATCCCAGAATAACACAGAGCAGGAGGGACCTCTGGGACCACCCTGCTCAGAGCAGCAAGGCTGAGCTGGGTCTCAAGCAGCACGGTCCTCCAGGTCACCCTAATCTCACCTCTAGGATGGACCATGAGCACCAAATCCTGGCCCCTCCAAATATTGAAGATGGGATGAACACTTCTCATCTGCTTCAGACCTGTTGCCTGAGGAGCCATACGCAGAGAGGCCATGCACAGGGCAAGGAAAGCTGCAGGTTATCCTCATTCCTCCACCAGCTGTCTTCATCCCCACCTTTGTGCTCAGTGCTGGGATCCTCTGGCCAGCCCAAAACCAGCCTGGCAAAACCACCTAATTCTGCATTTGTCCTACTGCCAGCTGAGAAGACCACAGCAGCCCTAGCCCACCATCACCCCCACACCACTGGCCTGCAGGCAGGACACAGGTGGCCTGTGCTGGTGCTGGAGGGACACAGGTGACCCCCATGGTAGCACAGTCCTGCCTCTGAGCCACTGCTAACGCTCTCCTCCAGAAAACAAATCTTGTTCAACAGCTTGAGCGCTGCTTGGCTGTGTGACAGCCAGCTGCTCTGGCAGGCCACTGGGAACAGTTTGTTGCACGATTTCCACAGTTTCAGGGAGGAGAAGCTTCCTCATAGCTGAGAGCAGCAGCGAGTGAGGAGTTCATGGGCTGTGATGCACCTACAGAGGACAGGCCCGTGTCAGATTCATCCCTGCCGAGGCCCCAGTGGCCATTTGTCCTGGGAATAGCCACCCCTGGCTCCAGCCTTTCCCCCACAAACTGGCAAAGGAGGGCACAGCAAATCCTCCAGCTCGCAGCTGCAGGGATCTTGCTGCAGGATTGCCTGTGCAAGAAGGGCCGGGTTTGGGTGTGCTCCCCTTGGGTGGCACCAAGCCCAGTATTGTGCGAGCTGCCGCTGAAGCAACGCGCGGGAAGCGCCGTCAGGGGGACGCCAGCCCGGGGACACAGCCGGCTGAAAGGGGCTCCTCAGGAACGGGCTGTCCATCGTGCAGCCTCCTGGTGGTGGTGTCCAGGGGAGGAGCTGCTGAGGGTGGGTTTGGGATGGATTTGGGATGGGTTGAGCTAAAGCCACAGGTCGGTCCGGCTAGAAGGATCTGGTTGGATTTGCTGGGTGCTGGTTCCTGTGCTGGTACCCAGCTGCTGCAAGACTTCTGAATTTCCACATGCCTTTAAAAGTCAGGACAAAATGTTGATGGAAATGTAACTGGATGGAAGCATAAAGTTAGTGTTACATGGCTGGCTGCTCTCCAAAAACCGTGGTGTGCACCAGAGGCTCCCCTTACCCTGCCAGCCACCTTCCTCTGCAGCCCATGGCTGCTGCCTCCCTTCCCTGGGTCCACAGCAGCTCAGATGGAAGTGCCCCATTTTCCTGTGCACAAGCAGCTCTGCGATTTGTGCTGAAATCAAAACACCTACTCCCAGGTCACACTTTGACCCACCAAGTTTTAGCAACAGTGACCACTGAGTTGCAGTGACTTTCTGGAACCAAAGAATGCCTTAACCACTCCCTTGGGCAGGTCCTTAATGATATGATGGCAAAGCTTTCTTCTGTGCATCATTCTCCTTATACAGCCTGAATGTCTGGGCTTGTGGATTTCACTGTTATAGTCCAGAGATTTCAAATGAACTTCTCAGTTTATGAATTCAGCTGCTTATGTGAAGGCAAGGATATCTTCCACAGAGCTCGGGGAAGGAACAGTTAACTGCTGGCTAACCCAGCTGCAAAGCCAGGGATCCCCCCAATGTCTGCAGACCATCACTGCTGCTGTGCTTTACTTCAGTCTGTGTCCCGAGGCCACCAAAATCATCCAAAGGCCAACAGAGAGGTCCTGTGAGATGAGGATTTCCTTCTGTTGTGCCCCTGACGTGGTGAACTCTGGCACCTGGTCCCCAGCCTGTGCCCATCCTCCACCCAGTGCGAATGCACAGGGGCCTGCAGGAAGCTGCAGAGGTGGGGCTGCTCTGTGTTCTTCCTCAGTGCTTCAGGACTGGTAGAACAGCTCTTAGAGCACAATTTTACTTGGCACAGGCTGGTTTTGTAATGAAAGAAATAAATAAGTGCCATCCTGCTCTGCTGGAAGGTTGAAGTGTTTCCTTTTTTTTTTTTTTTTAATGATCTGTTTGCACTGAGGCCAAACACTGAATACTTTGGCCTCAAAAATGAAAGTTTAAAGAGGAATTGTAATTGGGAGAAGGCTAAAACACAGACACTCTTGTGCCTTCATTGATGCTGCCACGAGTTATTTTATCACTTGCTATATTTTATTTTTGTTTGTGCTTTAGTGCAGAAGTGAGGAAGCACATTTGTGCTGTGTGCTGCTGACTCACCAGCTCTGGAGAGAGGCTCGCCCTGGATCTGTGCCCTCTGTGCACCCCCACTGACTCCCAACCAGCTGGCATCCCAAACCAGCCCAGGAGGGAATGTGGCAGACGAAGGACATGGGGGCAGGGTAGGGTTTTCCTGCCCACATGGAAGTCTTCTCCTCCTCTCCCCTGCAGTGAGTTTCCTGCAGGCTGGAAGCCTGTGAGCTGGTAGTGGAACAAGGCTTGGAGGCTGGCAGTGTGGGAAGGGATGGACCACCTCTCCTGGCAGCACCTCAGAGTTAAATCAGCTCAGACCTATAATGAAACCATAGGGAAGCATCTCACCCCTTTTCCCTGCAATCTTCCTCTTGGAAGTGCCAACCCAAGTGCTGGTTAGCTCATGTGAGATAAAGAGGAGAGCTTTACGTGCTGTGCTCAACACAAAGCAGCAGGTGAAGCCCTACTCTAGCAGAACCGTACAGGAGCATTTCTACCAATTCCAGCAAGAGCCCTGCAGGCAGACAGCTTGCATGGACAGGCTTGGGGAGTTTCAGGAAGCTTCAAAATAGAGTAAATAATAATAAGCAGAAATAAAATAATAAATCAGAAATGCGTTACCTGCTCTGAAGGAATGGCTTTCATATTTCCTTCAAAAAAAACAAAACAAACAAAAACACCCACCAGGTTATTTACATTCCATTTAACTCACTGAAAAACCCAAACAAACAGAGGTATTACTTTCACTTTTTTGATAAAAAAAGCTATTTTATATCATGTTATTCAACGGATGAATTAAAATACTTAATATATTGCTTATACAAGTCTATGCACGTAGGATATGTATATTCCCTCAAACACCACAACAAGTTAAAGCAACCATGATTTTTGTGGATGAGGCAGTGTGGAGATGCAAGGCCAGCAGCAGATCAGGGATCCCAGGTAGTCCTGAGCTGTTGCAGGACTGGGATGGGCAGTCTGGGACAGTTGTGGCTGCAGCACGCCTCTCTCCCTGCAGTGGGGTAGCCCTGGGGTGGAGGGCTGCCTGCCTGAGTGCTTGCCTGCTGACTTGGGAGGGCTGTGTGCTGCCAGGTTGCTGCAGGAGCTGCTCCAGGATGAGGCTTCATGTTACAGCTTGAGCTGAATTAACAGCTGCCAACATCAAAAAGAAGTCCTGCTGCAGGCAGTGTCCTTCTGCCCCTTGCTTGGTGCTGTCTGTGGTGTCTTCTAATCCCCACACAGGGCAGGTTGGTTCATGGGATGGACAAAAGCCCATGGGAGAGAAAACTAACAGCTTTTCTGGGCTGGGTTAATGTGCTGTCAGCTCCCTGCATGGTCCCGAGAATAAGGGTGGAAGAAGGTGGTGAGGGGGCAGCAGGACTGACCCGTTGTGGCAGTGGCAAGTTCAGCTTCATGCAAGGTGGAAGTGTATCCATAAGTGGCTTGTTTGAAGCAATCTCTTTCAGCTGTGGCTGTAGGAACCACCTGGTCTCCCTGTGCCTGGACACTGGCTCCATCCTACCAACCTGTCTGTACAGCAACGGGACACCCGGCCAGGGCAGGAGATAAAAATCCTCGTCTCGCCCCTTGTGCAAACACTCTGACCTATCCCTGTCTGACTTCCTTCACGGGAAGCTCTTTAACCATGACCTTCTCGTGCTGGGCTGCTCCTCTGCTGGATTGCTGCTCTCCCTGGGCTCTGCTGTGATGGGAATGCCAAAGCAAGGCTGCCCTTGCTTCCCCCAGAGAGCCGCAGGAACCGCATGCGCTGCTGCTGCCCAAGCCATGGAAACGGGGAGGCTCTGCTGCTGCTGCTGGCTCCTGCACAGAGCCACAACAGCTGGGAGTAACAAACCCTGCCTGTTTGTGTTAAATCAGGGATACTGCTGCAAGATAAGGAGATCCAGGTGATTGGTTGACTTATTCTACTTTCCATGAGCCAGCAGCTGAGTCCTCCTGCCTTTCCCTGCTAGGAATACACAAACCGAGCTCATGCTGCAATGCCTTGTTTTTCCTCCTGGACACAAATGAATGTTCAAGATATGCATTACCAATATTTCTAGCTTCACCCCCCTGTGCATATATGAAAGAGACTTGTTCACTTACCTTCCTGGCTGCTGGAAAAGCTTTTCTTGATCAGGGAGGTGGTGTGGCCATCCGCTCCAGGCTCAGTGTCCTCTGCTTGTCTGCGGCTGGTGGGTCTTGGAAAACAAAACAGAAGCGATAGAAGGGGAGGGAGCAATGCCTGCAGAGTTGGGGAGACACTGCAGAGCAGAGTAAAGCTGTTCTGTTTGTTTTCTATCTTTTCAAGTATACAGCAGCCTGTGTAATTTCCTGGCTACAAACTGCAGCCCTTTTCCATCAGATGCCAGTAGGTTTGTTGACCGAGCGTCACTAGGATCGCTCATTTGGCCGTGCAGTCGCTCCAGCACTGTCCTGTCATTCAAAGATGAGGTATAAAGCTGGTGGTGTTTTGAGTAATTACAGTTTTGTTAAGCAGGACAGGCTGGGGACATGTAACACACATAGCAGGCACCAGGCACTGCTGGCAGTCCTGCACGGAGGAAGTTGGGCAGATGCCAGGAGAGGAAGATATCAGACTCAAAATACAGCACTGATTTTCTGAAATTTTTGTCCCTACATCACTTTCATCACTGAAATCCAAGTTGTGAAGGAGGTACAGGAAGGAAAGCATCAACTATGTGTTATGGAAAATGCAGATTAATTTGATGTTGTTGTTTTTTGTTGTTTGTTTGTTTGTTTGTTTTTGTTTTTGTTTTGCTAGTCTTGGTTTCTTCAGCCATCATTAATCTCTGCTTACACAGCCATGTGGAAAGCAATCCATTCCCAGTGCAGTGGAACTGGAAACCTGGAGGCCACATTGTGCCATCCTGGCTTGCTGACTCGCTGCTCGTCCTGCCATCCCCAGCCTGCCCTGCCAAGCACCCGGTGAACTCCAAGGGAGCATTGCTTTCTTCAAGAACGAGTCAAGTAGAGAAAATAAACTAAACATCCAATGCCAGCCCAGCTAGGAACTCTTTTGGGAGGATTCTCATCATCCGGGTAGCTTTTCCTCCTCAGTGGATGTAGTCATGTTTGACTCAAGTAGTGTTTTACTCAAGGGTGGCTTTCAGCTACGACAGCGGTGTAGCTGTGAGAATAAAAATGTGAACGTTTTTGTGCAGCAACCAATTTCTTCACTGCCACAGTGCAGAATCTCATTTAGCTTTGATAATACAAATAATACATTCCAGGCATAAAGAGCCTTTTATTACTGATGAGAACATAAATAATTAAAGAAAAAGCTGAGATTTCCCCCATGCTTTTGTCTTCCCACTACCAGCCAGAAGACAGCTATGCAAGCAGCTGGGCACATGTAAAGCAACTAAAAGCACCTCTCCTCATCAGCTTTCTCGAGACATTTTTAAGCTGCAGTAATGCAACTCTCCCATCACACTAAGCTTTATTGGTTCAGTGTAAGAAACTAAGAAACTTCATTGGAGACCAGATTATGCTGGTTGCAAAAGCGGGGGGATTCTTCTGCTCTTCGACCCCATTATCTCCTCTGTAGTGTCTTGATCAGCTTTCTTACACACAGCCTTGGATTCTGCCGAGACCTGCAAATTGCTTTTTTGGCTGCCAAATTGCCATAACCCTTCTATTTTTATATTTTAAAAGAGCTTAAAACCCTCCATCCTCTTTGGATATGTCTTTAAAATTGACCAGTACTGGGAGGATTTCATGTATATCCAAAGGCTTAGAAGAAGATGTTACCTCTACTGAGCTTCTAGTTTTACAGTCAACAGACATGAAAAGCCCAGCGGGGATAAAAGGAACTTAACCAGTTCAGTCTAATGCATATAAATCTACCTAAGAGCTCAAGGCACTGGAAGTACTCAATGCACTACATTTATCTGAGTCTAAGATACAGAAATGGGTCTTCAGCCCACATGCCACATGTCCCATTTTGATGCCAAGTTAATATGAATTAAGAGACTGAGATGAATAAACAAGGTCAGTCTGGGCTGGGCCAAGTTGAATCAATGTAAAATAATTGTCAGTATTTTCTGTCAGCAAGGCTGGTTTATCTTGGCTCAGGATTCTCAGTGCTATAGATTATAAAATGTTTTCAGTGGAACAGTTGGCAGACATTTTATTGATTTTTCTTTGTTTTGTGAATGCTGGAAAAATTTCCATTAAGTATACATGCCATTCATGTGATGAAGCCAAATTGCTTTTTCAAACTTTTCTTTCTTCAAGTGTGCTAATGCGTTAATACATTAGCAATCTAATTTAATCAAGAGGACCTTTGTCTGGAATCAAGAGGCCATGGAGCACACCTTGATGCATCTTGAGCACTTATGGGCTAAGAAGAGTTAATTTTGTATTTTCAAGGTGCAGTGTGATTAATTTGCACCTCTGAATTTGGTAAAGTATTATCTCAGTTTTACAGATGTAGAAATTGAGAGTGCAACTTTGCACAAAGCCATCTATACCTGCCTGCTGTTGCATTCTTGAGGCACATGAAGCTCCTGGGCTGAGCAGTGGCAAAGAATGAGAAGGAAGAGAAGAAAAAGAAGGAAAGAGAGGGAGGGCTGCAGCAGACAGGCAGGAACAGCACTGGATCCAGTTGAGATGCTGGATCCCACTTCTGACACGAATTTCCTCCACCACATCAGCACATCCCTGCCTCACACGTATTAACAGAGTTAATTTGGAAATGAAAACTGCTCAGGCAGATGGAGCAGCTGGTAGGATTACACCTGAACCTGGCAGACGTTATCCCTCAACCTATATTCCTGCTATTTTGTGACTGGGTTTGCTTCCTGGTTAAAGAGGACTTTTGAAAGAGGTGGAAGCCATAACAGTGATGAATGTTTACTTTATTTGCACAGAACAGTCAGGTAGGAGTAAGAAATCCATTTAATGTTGTTGTTTATGTGACACACAAAAGGGGATGCTGTGGGATAACTCCAATTCCCTCCCTCTCTGCTGATTTAATAACCAACATACAGAACTGAAAGATGCTGTTAGAATTTCCTAAGGTTTGGCCAGTGATGCTACAGATTCAAAATATACAGACATGCTCATGAGATTAAATAAAAACTTTTAGAGAAGTAGGAATGAGTGTATTTTTAAGGACATAATCAACAAGAAAGTTTCATAGTAAAAATCACTGTGATGATAAACACTTTTGCCTTCTATCCTAATCACTTGTATTAAAATAATAGATAGCCTAATTAAAATGGGAGTAGTTCTGGTTTGGGGGACGGGGACTAGGTAGATGGATAATGAACTAAAAACCCCTCCAACCCAGCTTCACACATTGCCAACAAGTGGAAGATACTTAACCCACAACACATTATGATAAGGAAAGAGAATGACACACTGATGGGGAGGAAACCCACACTGCAGCTACCAGGGCCAGTGGCAGAGGAGTGAGTGCAGTCACAGGCCCGTGTGACTCTGGTGCCAGACTCTGACATGGTCACAGGCACTCTCTGGTTGACTCATCCAGAAATGAGCTGTCTCACAGGCAGCTGATCAGCTCCTTTGTGTGGCTGAGAGGATCAGCATGCTACCTCAGTCCTCCGAACAACAGCATCCAGAATATCTTCCTCAAGTGCAAACTTCTGCTGCAGGGTTATGCTGATCAAAATGTTTTCATAAACAGGTAACAAAAGTAAAGGGAGGACAGGAACTTCCAGGCTAAAACATAGCTGACACTTGGAAGGAGAGAAGGCAATGATCAATGCCAAATGTAAGCTAGAGGTGAGATCTTTATTTTATAAAATTATTAACTGAACTGTGCATTGTTGGTGGTGCTTAACTGTCCTTTTCATGTTAGAGTGAAAGAAATCAAGCAGAAAATGAATCACTGCTTTCTGGAATGTTGTCCTGAAATCTTTACTGCCCATAACTTTTTGTGTGTGTATATGTCTCAGAAAGCTGACTACAGCTCTCCACTGGCAGCAATACCACTGCTGCTTCCACAAAACATCATGGAGTTAAATCAAGAATAAGTTCTTAAAGAAATAAACCCTTGAGATTGTTCTATGAATGATTGTTTTATTTCCAGCCTCTTCTGTCCATTTTCTGTCCCTGTCTCCATCCCAGCTTATGGCTTTCCTGGTTAAGCAAAGGAGAGGATGATGTGAAGAGTTAGTTGAAGTGATTTTTTAATCACAGAGCCTGAAAACTGGGCCGCAGTTACACATATGCAGACGTCAAACTCCCTGAAGGGCATCAGAAACAAGGTTTATTAGGCAAGTGAAACATAAGTGTCTTCTGTTAGTCTTCACAGGGTCCTTGCTTGTGACTTCTGCCTAGATATAACTCACGAGATACGCCTCAGCTGTCCCAAGAGCTGAAATACAAGGGAGAAAGAAGTATGTGCTGGAGAAGAGCCTCCACAAAGTGGAGTGAAATGCAGATTTGGGACAGCATCTGGGACTGATAGGGGTAGTAGTGTTAAAAATGCACTAATGTAGTAATGGTGTGACTAGCTGGTACATGGATGTAAAGCCAAGGCAGATAACAAGAGACTCTGAAAGAAGAAAGAACAGCCATTGGACACTCTTGCTGAACAACTGCAAAGTCTTTGCGTGGTCTCTTACAGGAACTTAAAGAATCACTGCTACCCAGAAGAAGCCAATTACAAACCCAGAAGTCTCTGGTAATGCTGGAGTATCTGGGACAGAGAGATGAAACACTGCAATGACTGCAGAGCAGAGAACAGCCCTATTTATGTAGGGTCCCAACACTAAAACTTCCTTTCTTTATAGAGATTTCTTCACATGAAGAAATCTGATTCAGACTTGGCAGCAGATGCATTGTAGGAGCAACTCTGGGAAACTGGAGGCAAACCAAGCCACAGCTGGGTGCTTGTAACCACCCGTGGCTTTCTTTAAGCACAGGGAAGAAGTTGTTGGAGTCACCTGTGCCTCAGCAGGTGACCTTCCCACCTGGCTGGTGTTGTCACAGGGAGTGCCTTTGAAACCTAAATTCTTGTTGGCAGGCTCTGAGCAGCTGTGGCCAGCCAGGAGAGCTGTGAGAAGTTTTCTTCCATAGCATTGTAAGCGGCCACCAAAATCTCCAGCCTCTCCCAACAGAGGTCAGCGGCATCTCCAGGTGTCCGCAGGTGGAGGAGCTGGTGCACGGGTGGGAGCTTGCTTTATGCTCTCCAACCAAAAGCCTTGGGAAATCCCAGCCATTGTGCAGCTCTGGCGACTGCAAGGAGCCACTCCTGAGGCTCAGCAGCTTATGGTGACCCAGCTGGGTAGGAGCAGGCAAACGTGGTCAGGTGGGGAGCCCAGGAGTCGGGCAAAGCGGAGCTCTCAGCCTCTCCCGGGACGCCTGACACAAGCAGACGTGGGACTGCCAGAGCTGTGTGAGTCACAGCACCCTCCAAAAGGAAACAGGGGAGCGAAAGGGAGGGAGGACAGCGTGTTTATACCTCGGGATCAGAGGCGTGTTGGGATCAGTCTGGTGTGCTGCTAAAGGAACTCCTTTTATTGAAGCACTTGGAGCCCTCTGGAGACAATGCATCCTCCAGCATGGAGACTGTCTTTATAATTTGCCCATATCAGTACAGTGGTATCTTCATCCCAAAAGTTAAGAGGAATAACTGTGCCCTGTATTTTTAAAGCCAGGCCCACCTCCAAACCCATAGCTCTGAAAGCTTTAGAACACGTGCATATCCTAAAAGTTGTAGGTAATGTATAAAATAAATACTTCACTGGTGGGGTGCAGCTGGTAAAATGAATATAACACTGCATACTGAAAAAACTCAACACCCCCATGTGAGGTAAGACAGAAAACCAGTTAACATACAGACTGCCAGAAAGAGAAGGAAATAAGAAAATGAAGAAAGAAAAAAATGAACCACGTGTTCAGCACAGTTATATACAAAAGGCTGGGATGAATGTAATGTGGAACTTCAATGTCATACTCACATCAGATTTACTAAAAACATTCCTACAGACAGTAGACATAGAAAATAAAAATAAGTCTATATACTACACATTTATATACTCACTGGGAACAGATAAATGTTTTTCTACCAAGAATGCACAAAGAAAAATAACAGAAACAAATGCTTTTTGAATCTTTGCAGAAGGGCTGTTTATTTTTAATTTCCTATCCCTTGCAAGGTGGTGTACAGGTTCACTAGCAATGAAAGTGCTGGAAAAAAATCCCAGTTATCAGAACTGTTGTTTCTCTCATAGCTAAGTTCAAGGTTTTAATCAGCTTCAGAAGAAGGGCACTCTCAAAAGATCTTCCCAGGGATTTTGATTACAGCAGTGATCTGCTTACAGAAATTGGTGAAGATCATGTCAGTTTTTAAAAAATTCTCTTCACCATCTGCAATTGTTAATTTGCTGCATTTTCATTGCTGTATTTCTTTTTTCTCCACATTCAACAAGCAAGCCTGCCTTTGCCCAGATGATTTAATTTGAAAATGGTTGTGCTAGTGTATGTTAAAAGCTTGCAAACTGTCTGTGTTTCTGGAGATTTCATTGTGTTTATGGCGTGTCCTCTGGGCTTCCAGGTTTTTCTTAGTTTTTAGTGTGTAAATGTTTTATTGTGTTTACAGTCATGATGCAGACAACAGCTGCAATTGTCAGGAAGGTTGAGAATATCAAACATACATTTAAAAGCCATTCACAGCTCACCTGTGGGAGCAGCTCTGCGTTGGTGGTCTGTCGGCAGGGCCGGGAGCAGGCGGGTTGCATCCTCCTCCCTGCTCTGGAGATTGGTCAGGGAAAGCTTCACAAGATGGGTCTTCTTCATCTGACTGCCCCAGAAGTTCTGTTAAGATGGATCAAGATATGATATCACACTTACTTCATCTGAAAGTACCAACCAAGCTGCCAGCTGTTTGCCTTGGATGCCCATAAGGACAAGGGTGTCCTCTCTTGCAGGGTATCAAACTGAATGGAAGACCACATGCTTCCACAGTTTTCACCCTTGGCTTTTCCCTTGAAAAGGAGGCAGAGTAGCCAAAGAGCAAACCAACCTGTTTCTTGCAGCACCAAGAAACAAGTCCAAGAGTTTTTGAAAGAGAGAGACAGAGTGTGTATTGTCTGTAGATAGCAAGGAGGAAATGCATTCTCTAAATTGTCAACTACAGAAGGTCCAGCTGGCTGCCAAAGGCTGCTGCATGAGCCATAGGGATCAAAGTCTTATCAATTGGACTAGTTCCCCAGAGGAGTATGTGTAACTCCTTCCTTTAAAAATAAAGACTTCCCTTAGCTTTGTTTTAAAATATTTTGGTTCTCAATTAAAGCCTGAAGTCTTCAGTAGGTGAAGCATGAGCATCCAATTCACAAGTTCCAGTCTGAGCCCTGTGGTAAAATAAATTCTTTAAAAATATACGAACCACTTAAAAATATAGAGGAGAAATTGCATATTCTAGGTGCGAGACATAAAATAAATAAAAAATTTAATCAAACCGCAGGCTAGCAGAGTTTGGATTAAGGAAAAAAATCCTGTTACAGATAAAGACTTTAAAAGATTTTTCTCAAAATCGTAAGACCCTTTTGCATTTTTTCCTCCTCTAATCCTGTTCTTCTCCCCTTGTTCTCTGCCTTCTTGGATCCTGGATAAGCTGATCAGCAGCATACCCATGGTGGCACCGTGGGCAGTGGGGAGGATGTAACAGCCTGGCCAGTGTTGCCACGCTGTTGGTTTACATTTTGTCTGGAGACCCAGAATGCTCGCTGGCTTAGGAGGGCAAATCTCCTCATAAGCCTTTCTGAACCTCTGAGCCTGAAACATCCAATGCTGTGGGAGTGCTGTGAACTATTCCTACTCTTCATGCCACCTAAATACTGCTGGCATCTGTGGTGTGAGGCAGGGTGAAGTGTGGCAAGGTTTGGCTTTCCCAGGTAGCTGATGTTGTCTGTCTGTGCTGCTGGTTCCCACATTTTCAACCATTTCCCAATGTGGGGAATGGTTGAAAATGCCAACTCAGTTGAAGGCAGCACACCTCAAGCATGTACACCACACTACAATAAATAAATAAAGGTGCTAAACCAGCACTGCTGCAATTTTTCCTCCATCTTGAAAAAAATAATTCAAAGAGAAATAAAAGCAGAGGGAAGAACAAGTGTATGGGCAATGCTTTAATCTCAGAAACTCAAACCAGGGCAAGTAAGGGATGTTTCTCTGGACATGTCTTCTTGGAGCCTTGAAGAATGAGAAGCCAAAAGAACGAGAGGTACAATATTGAGAACTCATAAATGTTCGTGAGAAGCTGCTTTTCATGTACATGAAGAGCTCTGGGAAAGGGCTTAAACAAAATTCCTGTTGACGGGGAGAAAAATAATTAGGCAAAATCCACTGCAGGTCTTGTGGCACAAACTTTGACAGCCTCTGCTTTGGAGCACAGCTCTCACTGCTGTGCTCCCACCTGGAATGGAGTCTTTGGTCCTGAAAATCCTCCCTCTTCACTTGGCCAGAGTTGGTTAAGAAACAGAATATTAAACCTTTGAATTTGCAAAATGTCAAAGCTCAGATGTACAGTGTGAGTTGAGCATCTGTAATTAAGTTTTCTTTTCTCTTTTTTTCTTTTCCTACTTACTCAGTAACAACTAAGGCCTACATAATTTCCCCCCTTAAAGCTACAAACTTTCACCAATATATGATGCCCATGACTTCTCTTGAGCCACCACTCCTGGGGTGGGGACATTTCAGAACATAAAACCCTGAGAAACGCTGAAAGAGGAGAGTGTATTGAGAAAAGAAACGTATCAGAATTGGGAAAGTGTGATGGAAAGAGATCAATTTTTCTTGATCTCTTTCCATCACACTACTGATCTGTGTTTTCTTGTCTCTGCTGAGAACCAGGGCTGAGTAAATCCCAGTCCTCACACCAACCACTTCAGTGTAACTCATGCATGTGCTCCAGGTGGTACCCAGCAGCTTTTTAACATGGAGTGGCTACATTTTGGATGTATGGAGTCCTTGGGTGCCATATTTCCAATATATGAATGCTATGAGAAATTAATTACAGCATGGCCAGTGACTGATACCTTGTGCTGTGGATGTAACACAGCTACACCTTGTTAAATAATGCTATGGATCCATGGAAACCTCATGGAAAACAGAGCAGTCTATCATCTGCAAGCACAAAACCAGGGGAAGAGCAGGGTTCTTACCCACAGGAGTGCAAATAGATTTCTCTGCACTTTCATATCTAAAATAAATATCTGATGTGTTAAAACAGCTATGAGCATTGTACCTATTGTGGTCTGGGGATGCAGCTGCAGTGTGGATGCCAGGAGTGGTTCAAAGCCACAAAACCATCAGATATGAGCTACAAAGTAAAGAAATAAATATTTTTGTTGTGGAACATGGACTCTGCTCCCTGTGAGAAGTGCTAAAGCAGGAAAAACAAATGGGCAAGAAACACTGTTTAAACAACACAGCCCGTCCCAAACTAGAGGCAACATATCCCACTTTTAATTAGAAGGAGAAGGGAAGGATTTTGGCAACAATGCCACAGACCTGGGAGAGGGTGGTGGTCCTCACATCTAGCTGAGGGCTCTGGCTAGGATTTGGTGCTTGATAGAGACCTGACTTTGTGCTAGCACTGGAGAAATCATAAGTTTCACCTAAGATTTTGTATTCAGGCAATCTGAGATATTCCTTTGCCTTCTTGCACAATAAACTCTCGCTGTTTAAATTCTAAATTACTATTTGCTTAACATGTTATGATCTGGGGATTTCAATCTGATTTTTAATTTCAAAAATTTGAGAGTTGGTATTGTGCTAATGTTGTGGTTTCATCAGTAAAGTAATTTACTATATGCAAGAATATGAATCTTTTGTGCTAAAATAATTTAAAAAAATCCCATTTGTCATGATCAATATTGGGATGGCATTGTGTACACCCAACCATACAATGACCCAATGCATATTCTACATTTCCAAAATTAAGTGGTAATTGCTATTGCTACATCTCACACGTGTCTGAAATAGCCAAACATCTTTCTTTACAAGTCCACTGAAAGTTCTCCTGTGCTTTAATGAGCAGGATGCTCTCTGGGTAATGCATGCAGGTGATGAGATATCACGCCTTGCCTGCCCACACATCTGTCATTATTTAAACATATCTATTCTCTTTTGAATCTGTGTCTGCAAATCGGAAGCTGTTTCCATTCTCCAGGATCCTGCACTGGACTTTCAGGGATAAAAACGCATTTCAAAACGTGCAAATCTGTGGTAAAATGAAAATCTCCTTTTAATATTATTTGTAAAATTGACAGCTCTACTTAACAGCAGCCATTAAATTATTTACAAAGTAGCAGCTGCTCTTGTAGCAGCCTTTTTTGGGCGTGAAAAATAAACTAGTTGATAAGTGAGAGATAAGCCATTTGACTTCCTCTTTGTGTGCCTGGCATGGTGTGCAGAGCCAATTCTGTACAATCTGATGTTTACAGAGCAATCCTCGTGTACGACCTCCTTAGGCAACAGGGACACAAGAAGCCTTTAAAATGCTGAAGCAAGCATTTAATCAGAACTCTTCATGCTGATCTCTGAAAAATTCAATAAGTTCAAAAAAATGTAACTCTTTCTAAAGATAAAATATCACTTTTTTGCTTCAGGAATTGCAAATATATCCCAATGAACTCCCAGTGAACCACACAGACTTCAGCCACATTGCTGTTTTACTAGAAAAAAAGAGGTAAATAGTGCTTTTCTGAGAGAAACTAATCAAGGGTCTGAAGAAGTGCAAATAGTTAATTCAAGTGAGTGCTGTAAAACTGTAGACTTTACTAACAACCACACTTTCTTTCTCTTAGGCATTTAAACAAATTAATTTTTCTACTTGAACAACTAATCACATATAAATAAATTCATATCTTCTCTAATTATGCAATAATTTTTTAAAAATCAAGTATTTATTTTATAGCTGTTGAAAGCAAGCTGTCATGATTTTATGACATTTTGGGGATTTTTTAAAAGATAACTGATAACAGCAGATAACTGCTGCAGAAGGCATGAGATTGAGCATGATTTCACACATTACCAAGTTATGATAACGTAATTCTATCCCATGTTTTCTCAAATTACATAAAGCTATTTCTAAAGCCACTGCATAAAATTCTTATGGTATCAAAATCACTGGGAACATCCATTGCTGATTTGAGTGTGGTCAGCTCTTTTTTCTGGCTGCAATTGTTTTCCCAAAAAAGTCTTTCTAAATAAACATATTCTAATAAAATTGCTTTGTTTCAACAAATTCCTGCAGAGAAACCACAGAGCTTTGTTTATGAGTGTGGAAAAATGTAACTCTAAACTTCCTTGCTTTTTCTGGGCTAATTTTCCGTGGATTTTAATTTTTAGATTATTTTTGTGTTGTTTTGTTAATTCCCAAGGTTGACACGTTTGCATTTGACAAATACAAATTGTTGAAATATTGGTTTTGTAGTACTTCTGAAACTCATTGAGAACAGCTGTTACTGTTTAGAGAGCTGGATAAGATTATTCCTGAAATTAAATCTGAATATCTCCCAGTTCTGTTGTTTAACAATTTGATGCCTGAGAAGATAAGGCATTTCAATCACTACTAGTAGAATCAATCCTTAATAGTAGCATAACATGTCATTATTTCACTAGTTGGGTAGTAGAGGTATTAGCAGCAGTAAAACTGTTTTAGTGGGTGTGCAGGAAATTAAAAAATTAATATAAAAGTTATGTGATAAAACTAAAGAATGAGCTAACATTTATAAACAACTGCTTTGTTTTGTTGCTTTTATGGTAGTGTAGACAGTTATACTTCACTTAGCAGTTTTCTGCAGCTT